GGAAATTTTCTGAATGTTTTAGTTCATTGTTCGGGTGACATTGTTACCTACTCAATATGAGTTCTCTTCTTGGTGAGTTGAAATCAAAAACCTTCACCAGAAGTTATTGCCACTCAAAGTAAAATCTTATTTGCAGCAAATAAGAAATCCATGGGGAATCACTTTCCAAAGCAAGGCTCCATGACCAATAGAATGCAAGTTTCTTTTATTGGGACTAAGAAATGAATTTTAAAAAGGGAAGGTTTTGTCATTACATGTAGAGGTGGGTGTAAGTTGCTTAGGTGCAGGTTGAAAACATGTTCTGTGTACATCGTTTTGCCTAGATTTGTGTTGCAGCTCCCCACTGGGCAGGGTTTTACTACGAGGCAAAGGTGACTCTCAGACACTTCCTGGTTCATCTGCATAGACATTGCTCCTGTGGTGTAAACCAAACTGGTTTAGAACAGTTAGTGATTTAATCTCTTCCTGAAACTGAAGTGAACAACAACTTTGGAAGACATCAGGTGCTTTGGAAACCTTAGGGTCCTAAAATAGAAATGAGCAAAACAGAGGCTTTTGAGGTGCTTAGGGCATTAGCCAGTGACAGCATTGCCTTCAGAAATACATATTCTTTAAATTTGAATAAATTAGAATAATATTCTTTTAGAATAACTGCTTTCAACTATAGCCATAAAACACACTTTCCTTATTAAAAGAAGTAATCTGAAAGCTGAAGTTATATAATTGTGAGGAGGAGGAGAGGGGATTAACATTTGTAATACAGTGTTTATTTCTACTGTTCTCAGATTTCCTTTGGAAAGGAAGACATTTCTATATTAAACAAGCTCTTTTTGTGGAAAATAAGATACAAGAAATAAGACTTTAATTTGAAAGAGTGGGGTGCGCAGCAGGTAAATGAAAACCCAAAAGAGGCAGTTACACCCAGGGGCTCATATACCATTTTAACAAAGGGTGGAAAGTGTCCAAGAGAGACTAGACAAAGGAGGTTTGGGCTTCTTAGTGGGCTGTGGAACAGTGGTTAGGAAATGTGTAGTAAATAAAGGTTGTTTGGTAAGGTTTATTACGTAGACTAAAGTCATTTCAGGTGATAAAGAGTTGTCTCTGGAGTCATTCTGCTCTCCACTTCCTGTTATGGGAGGGAGGCACCTTTACAAAAGGAAATTTATGCCCTGCCTTAGGTAAAACATAAGAGGGCAGATTGTTCTGCCTTTGTTTGCTGTTTCTTATTAATTGTATTCAGCTCAAAATAATCCTTATGCTCCAGTGGCATATTTTGGAGTCGCATATTCTGATCCCCCAATGCAGCATTTCTGACACCAAATGCCATGGTGTATTCCCTCTCTCTATATATATAACAGTAACAATATTAAACACAGCAGCAATAGTAGTGTAACTTCATTGGGGTACCTGGACCCAATGTCTATATGTGTAAGTATGTGGGAGGGGGTTTTCCTGCACATACTTACACCAAGCAATTCTTGAACACCAGCAGGGTGTTGGAGAACTCTACTCAATTCTGATGCTATTTGCCCGGGGACAGCACCAGATTCCCAGGATAAGGGAAGGGCCCTGTCCTACAAGACTGCCCTTCACCACCCACTCCAGACTCCGGTTGTAAGCTCCAGGCAGCTCCCTGTGCTTCTTACCTGTGGCTACAGATTGGAGGTTCCCACGACCTCCCCCTTAGGTTCCATTAATTTGCTAGAGCGGCTCACAGAACTCAGGAAAACACTTAGGTTTACCAGTTTAATAAAGGATACTGTAAAGGATACAATTTAACAGCCAGATGAAGAGAGACACAGGGCAAACCTGGGAAATATATATTTGGTCACATGAATGACCAGATAAGTATTTCTTATAACTCATTATGTCACACCCAATTCACTATCTAGGTAAGACAGAAAAAAATTAGTTTGAATGTCTAAGTTTTATTTGACATTTCCATTATGGACACACAGAACAAGTATACTTGATGTGTGAGTTTTATTTTGGACTTACTTCGTACTATAGCAGTACTATGTTAATCATCAGTGTTTACTTAATTTCATTTAATTCAAAATTCTTTGGAATAAAGTAGAATAATTGTTCAGCAATGTAAGGCCAAATCAGTTGTGTTGTGAAGATGATTACTTAGGCAATCAGTGGAAGCATATGTGACTTGATGCAGGACTATCAAATAAATAATCAGTATTTATCTTGTGTTGTAACACCACTGGACTGCCACACTATTTGTGGCCACAACCACTTCTTTGTATGTCCAGAATTTTCATGAATGGAATGTATTCAAGAACTTTTCTCTCTTTTTACCTGAGTCCCATAGGTCTGATAATGCACTTCACCTTCAACCACTTGCAAAAATCTCATGATTTGAGGGGAAGGACATGATCTTTTCTCAAAATGTTGGGGAACCCAATTGAGGGACCCCATTCTAATGTGTCTGAGACTCCAGTAGTACGTTGCACAGAAGTTAATCTTGATTTCTATTTTTTAAAGGTGATATTAGCAAGTAAGTAATGCATGAATACATTCCTTATCTAAAAACTGTATTACAGACAATAGTGAAGTTCCCTTTTTGCCTTTCCCATAAGCCTCTCAGTTCAGTTCTCCCCCACCTTCCTAGAGGTTACCATCTGAATTTGGTATATATTGTCCAGATCTCTCTCTATACTGTAAGTATATATCACAGTATCGTGTGTTCATGGTATCATGCTGTGTCAATACCCCGTGGCTTATGTTTGTATTCAGTAGTTTATCTTGGTGACTTCTTCATATTAGTCCCTATATATCTTTATCATTCCTTCAAACTGCATATTATTTATAATATAAATAAGTACAGTTTTTCTACTGTTGGAGTGTATTTATTTCCATTTTTAAAATGACCATGTTTTAGTGAACGTTCTTCTACATGTCTCCATGTGTACCTGTGCAAGTGTTCCCTTAGAATAAATACTGAGGTTTGCCAATTTTTAGTTTTAATGCACATTGAAAAATTGTTCTTCTGGAACATATTTCATCACATGATACTGCAGAACCTCAGATTAATTAAGACATTGATTTTTTATCTCAAAAGCAAAGGTTTGCTCTCAAGCAGATGCAAGGCCCCTTCCTAGTAAGCTCTAGATCTAAAAATAAGATAGCCATCATCTGTAGCTGTAGGGATCACCTGGCATATTTTTAGTACACTGAATTTTATGAGCAGAGAAGTTGTGCAACAAGACCAGATCAGGTGGAATTTACCTTGAAAAGATAAATAACCAGACTACAATGTAAGCAAACAGCGATGATTCCTGGCGGGTAAAGTATTATTTAAATACAATTTTCAGGAAAATGTAAAATATTTCTCCTAAAGATATGAAGATGGACATGTGTTAAAATTTTTATTTATTTATAAAATGAGGAAACCAGCAGATGTTTTAATCAGTTCAGAGGAAAAGTCCGTACAAATTTATATGAAGTCAAGGAATGTTGAGGTGAATTGCAAATGGGACAAAACTAGTTTTTCCACAGGGAGGAGGGTAGGAAAGAAGTCAATTAAACCTCTACTACACAGGAAAAAATTTATGTATCAGTTACCTACAACTTAAGAGAGTTCCAGTGTAGCTCAAAGACAACAGACTAGGCTAGATAAACCAGTAGTGTGTGCTAGAGGTGATGGATAGTTTTTCATTGAAACACAGAATTTTTTTCTATACTGTGAATATATATTCAAGTTTGTAAACAGTACCAGACCTTGATGACCAGTGGTTGGGTAACTTAGACTTAGCAGTCAGGCTCTGTATAGAGGCCAAGGGAAATAGTCAATGAAAGGATAGTCTTTGAGTTGCTTTGGGAACTACCATATTTAAGTAGTGCAGATGAGGCAGTGTCCAATAGAGAAAGGGTTTGAGCGATTTTTGCTATTCCTGAGTTAGAATCTGAGCTTTGCCTTAGACTCTACCACTCTGTAACCTTGAACAAGTTATCTAGTCTTGCTGATACTCAGTTTCTTCATCAATAAAATGAGAATGGTAATATAATCTTATGAGGATAAAGTAGAATAATTCCTTATCTCACTGTGAGGATTAAATTATCTTCAAATATAATTAAAACACTTAGCACAAACTCAGTGAATGTAGTTCATGGTATCGACCAAGTACCTCCTACAGAGAACTTATTCCATTCCTATGATTCTGCCCGTTATTTCTTGCTTTTTGTCATTCAGGACCCAGTTTAATTGTCATCTCAGAGAAGCATCTCCTAACCATGCAACTTAGATACCTCCTTAGCACCCCCCTTTACGTCACCCATTCTTATTTTCATTATAGCACTTAGCACTACTCCCTATTTCCTGTTGATTTATTTAAACTTCTTTATTGTCTGTCTCTAAGTATCAAATGAATAATGATGATTTTTGTTTTATTACAGTGATATGTCCCCCTTCCAGGAGGATAGTGAATATCACATATTTGCTATTCAGTAAATGTTCTTGAATAAACAGGGCAAGTACTGTCTTTGGTCTCCCTAGGAAATGCCTTTAACTCTTTTCTGCTGGGCCCTTGGATACAGCCAGCACACTTGGCATGAAAAGCTAGGGGATATAAACTGGTGAGGAAGAGCTGATGGAGAAATTTAACAGAATGGGGAGTATGGAATAACAGGGAGGGAATGGGCAAGAAAGCCACAGTCTGTTCTGACACAATTGTGGCATTAAGTTTTTGGATGTTTTATTTTACTTTTTGGATAAAGTGATGCAAATATTTTTTCAGATCTAGAAATGAAAGAATTTAGTCCAACTCTTTTTACATTACACAGTGCTTTATAGATAAGGAATAGGTCTTTGTCCAAATGGCACAATTAATCTGCTGATGGAACTGGGCCTCCAGACTCGGGTTTTTCTAATCTTATTCTAAATCTTTTTCTTAATATATGCCTTAGTTTGTCACCTATGCAAAGTGTTGAGTTATGTTCTAAACATCTGCATTTTCACAAATACTTTTTTTTTTTTTTTAATTTCCCAACAGGTAGAAAACAGACCAAAGTATTATGGAAGAGAGTAAGTATGGACTATCAGAAAACATTGTAAAGATTGGAATGTGTAGGAGAGACAGGTAAATAGATGTTTTTAATAAAAATAAAACAAGATGAAGGAGATATTTAAGTTGGGATAAGTTACTTTTCCAATTACAGATATAATTATTCTAACTGGTGAAAATACAGAAAATAAAAACAAATATAGAGAAGAAAATAACGTAGAAAAATGTATATGCAATAATGTTAAAGATGCAAGCCATATAAATAAGTAAATAATCCTAGATGGATATGAGGAAAATGTGTATTTGTGTGTTGTATGTATATATTAAACATATAGATATATATATATACACATTTGTACATATAGTGGAGTATGGGTGGTTTTTTTCTGTATTTGTACTTTTCTTTATTTTCCAAATTTTCTATAAGTAAATTCATGCTACCCAGAAATAAGTAATGTTAGCACTTTGAAGTATTCCCTTCTGAAAACCTATTTTCCTAATGGTCTTTACAAAATTGAGATAGTAAATGTATAATTTTATAACGTTTTTCCATTTAATAGTAACAATGAGCATTTTCCTATTTTTTGAAAAATGTAATAATTTTTAAAGTCCTTAATTTTTTCTGGTCATTAGCAAAACAAACATAGCCCTTTGGAGAAAAGAAAAAAAAACCCACCTAAAATCCCATCATTCCCCAAATATAGTTGTTTGTTCTTCATGTCTTAAGGTCATATTAGATAAACAGTAATGTATCTGCAAATATGTTAAAGTTATTTAAAATACTTGAAAATTCTTTAAAGTTTCTTTAAATTCCATGGTCAAGTTTTGTTCCAAAATTTGTTTTCTTGAATGGGGTTTTCTTTTAAATTGAGTTTTTAAAAATAGAATTTTACTAACTTTATCGATTGATACTATGTAAACTTAAAATAATATACCAATATATTAATCTAATGATATGTGTTACTACCAGGAATATAAGTTACCATCTTGCTTCCAGCAGAGTCAGAGTAGACCTGGTTCTGAAAGACTGAGGAATTTATGGGGATCAGAAAGTCCATGAGCCCACTGTTAACCAGGCTGTTCTAATTGTCATGATTCTAACATACCTACCTTGAACTTTTGATACTTAAATTGAGAAAGACTGAATCATTCCAATGAGTAAAACTCCAGAAAGTTACTGCTCTCCCCCTTTCAATGCATTTTAAATGTATAATTCCAAATTCAAGAGACTTTTTCTCTCCCATACTGGTAAAAGCTGCAATTTCATTTGAGCAATCAGTTCCATTATCTTTGAGTTACTAAAAGGATGTAATATATGTGCAAATCCTTTGTAAATTATATATCAATATACAAATACAAGGTGGTTTTATATTTCTAATATAAAAAAATATAGAGTCACCACTGATTCTCTTTCTTTTTCAGTGTTTTCTGTTAGGTTGCTCTAGATAAATCTACTGTGTTGTGTGAAGAGTGTTATTTATGTTTATTCTTCTCCCTCCTTTTTTCTCTTAATCAAAAATAGGGTTTTAGCAGGGAGTGAAAGCAAGTATTACAGTTGTTTGCTTTTGGCTTGAGTATCCAGTGATGCAGATTATGCACATTATTGGGCAATCATGCCAGTTAAGAGCAACCCAGGGTCCTGGAAAATTGCCAGCATAGGCTGTGAGCCAAAATTTTTGGCAGTGCTACTAGTGTAAAGAAAGGAAATGGGACACATTTCTGTATATTTTTTAGCATGTCCATATGGTCAGATGGCTATTTAAGAAGGGAATTGTCCTCTTGGGAAAGGTAGTTGATCTTCCCTTAGATGGATGTGAATTTTGATTCCATGATTGCTAAATAGACTGGATAGCTACTTTGATGCTGTTCTTGTCACCACAGAGAAGCTGGCCAGGGGCCAGGCCCAGAGAAACACAAGCATGGTTAAACTAAACCGCTCCCCTTCCGTTATATGGCAGCACTTTGTTTAGAAAACAACAGGAGAAGGTGGGGGTTTTTGCTTTCTCTTGTTTTATTGACAATGGTGGAAAGCATGCAGTTTCTGAGTTGACTTTGTTTTTTAGGTTTCACGGCATGATCTCCCGAGAAGTAGCAGACCAGCTCTTGAGTGTGGCTGAGGGGAGCTACCTCATTCGAGAGAGCCAGCGTCAGCCAGGAACCTACACTTTGGCTCTAAGGTTGGTCATGGACCTGTAATTATAACTGCTTCATTTAAAACCCTCTTAATAGAGGGCTTTACATTTTAAAAGCATCCAGCATGTAATTGAATTGGTTCTTGTTTTCTTGGGACATAATACCATTTTAATGGCTTTGAGACCCTTAAAAAATTCCTCATGAATAGCAGCACTCAGTAATTAAAAACTGAAAAACTTTTAAAGTATTTTTATTATGGCTGCTTTCTTATATTTCATCTTACCCATTTTCTCCTGTCTGTCCTGTGGTATCGACTCATATGTATTTCGTAAATAAGGAAAGGAACTTAGAGAAAGATCTTTGTAACATCAAATTAGAGCTAATGTCATTTCTTTTAGGTTGGCTTTTCTTGGGAGCTCTTGGCTCTTTCCTGTCAACTGAACTTTGCCTAGCACTTTGGCTGTGTTCTTAGCTTGCATTGCACAGTACATTGCCCAGAAACATGTCTTTCCATCAATGCTGCAATAATAACACAACAATAATACACTGTCATGCTTATCCATTGTGTTTAACATATGCCAGGATTCTAACCTCACTGAATCTTCACAACAACTCTAGGATGTATGTTCTTTTACTATCTCCACTTTACAGATAAGGAAATGAAGGACTTACAGGATTGGACAACTTGGCCAAGGTCATACATTTAATAATTCATACCTCTGTTATTTGAACCTGCACAGTCTCGCTTCAGAGTCTGTGTTCTTAATCACTCTACATTGCTGCCTTTTCAAAGGCTTGGGTTAATTATCCATTGTCTTTATTCATTGGTGCGTTTGTTCACTTATACATTAATTCATCCATTCTTTGGAAAAGCCAGAAAAGTAGAAACTTCCTAGGGAAGAGGTGTAAGAAATGACATTTATTTTGGTGGATATAAGGAGAGAATATACAGATGATGTTTAGGACGCTAACATGACCATGTGTAACTCCTCCAAATGCGTGTGCTTGCTTGAGTGAGCAGGGACTATTGTTACTCCCATCCAAAGGATTTATACTCATCTTTCTGACAAAAAGAATGATAATTCAGTATTAGTTCATACTGTTCATTTTGAATTACTTCCATACTCCGAGAATAAAGCATATGACAGGAGTTCATGGATATTTGCCTTTTATGGTAAGCTATAAAGTGTAAACCCCCTTTCAGTTACTTAATTTTATTGTTTTCAGGTTTTAATTATGGTATATAGGGAAAAATTCTGGGCTGGAAACAGAAATACTTAATTCATTTTGCTACTGAATCAACTAGAAGATTGATTTGGGGAAAGTCACATAATTTCTTGAAGCCAGTTTCTTCATCTTTGTACTCCTAACATGTTATAATTATGAGATTCTGCAATACTGCATTCCCAAATAGTTTAGCCATCTGAGTGTCTGGGATAAATAAGCCTTGAGATTAAGTCTGGTGGACCAGAATTAGGAAGAAGAAGGTGAGGGGATGCAGAGACAACTCTGCATAACTCTCTCTCCCTGTCTGTCCCCTTTGTTGCTGACTCCACTGCTTGCCTCTGAGGTCACATAGTGAGTTAAAAAACTGGAATATAAACTCAGTTTTGCCTTATTGCAAAGCTCACGTGCTTTCCATTTTGCTGTGCTGCTTCTCATATTCTAACATGGCTATCCTGCGGTGTTCACTAGATGACAGCAGCAAACCCCTAGGGTTGAGGATTTAGTTTGGAGAAAAGTAGCAACCAAACCTTCTAAGCTCTTCCTCATTTCCACTCTGTCACCCTCTCTGATGCCACTTCCGCCTTTAATCTTAGAATCATTTCCCATCTGCTTTGGCCCAGGAAATCCTAGAATACAAATTGGGGAGCAGATGAACATTAGATTGATAGAAGTGTTTTGTTGGCTTTTAACATTTTTACAGATTTATTATTTGTCATAAAAGAGATAGGTACAAAAGCATTTGCCAGATCATTCCCTACATACTACTTAAAGACACAGATTATTATAGGTATAGTTTGGCCTTCTAATATACACTTCTTCAATTGTATTTTCCTCTCTGCTCCTGAGAGATAACCACAATATTAATCTTGGCAATTATCATTCCCATGTTTGTTTATTTGTTTTTAATTAAAGTATCATTGATATACAATGTGGTTTCAGCATTCACCCATATTATCAAGTACTCATCCCCCCACCCCATTGCAGTCACTATCTTTCAGTATAGTAAGATGCTATAGAGTCATTACTTGTTTTCTCTCTGCTGTACTACCTTCCCCATGGCCTCCTATCTTATATTGTGATTGTGAATTATAGTGCACCTTTATTCCCTTCTCCCGCCCCACCCAACCACCCATCCCCTTTCCCTTCTTGGAGTCTGTGAGTCTGCTGCTGTTTTGTTCCTTCAGTTTTGCTTTGTTGTTATACTCACAAATAAATGAAATCATTTGTACTTGTCTTTATCTGCCTGGTTTATTTCACTGAGCAAAATACCCTCTAGCTCCATCCATGTTGTTGCAAATGGTAAGATTTGTTTTCTTCTTATGGCTAAATAATATTCCATTGTGTATATGTACCACCTCTTCTTTATCCATTCAACTGTTGATGGACACTCAGGTTGCTCCCATATCTTGGCTATTGTAAATAGTGCTGAGATAAACATAGGGGTACATAATGTCTTTTTGAATCTGGGATCTTGTTTTCTTTGGGTAAATTCTTTGGAGTGGAATTCCTGGGTCAAATGGTATTTCTGTTTTTAGTTTTGTGAGGAACCTCCATGTTGCTTTCCACAATGGTTGAACTAATTTACATTCCCACCAACAGTGTAGGAAGGCTCCCCTTTCTCTGCATCCTTGCCAGCATTTGTTGCTTGTCTTTTGGATGTTGGCCATCCTAACTGGTGTGAGGTGATACCTCATTGTGGTTTTAATTTGCATTTCCCTGATAATAAGTGATGTGGAGCATCATTTTATGTGCCTGTTGGCCATCTGAATTTCTTCTTTGGAGAAGTGTCTATTCAGATTCTCCATCCATTTTTTAATCGGGTTATTTGCTTTTTGGGTGTTGAGGCATGTGAGTTCTTTATATATTTTGGATGTTAATTCCTTGTCAGGTAAGTTGTTTACAAATATATTCTCCCAACTGTAGGATGCCTTTTTATTCTGCTGATGGTGACTTTTGCTGTTCAGAAGCTTTTTAGTTTGATATAGTCCCATTTGTTCATTTTTTATTTTGTTTCCCTTGCCGAAGGAGTTGTGTTCAGGAAAAAGTTGCTCATGTTTATATTCAAGAGATTTTTGCCTGTGTTTTCTTCTATGAGTTTTATGGTTTTGTGACTTACATTCAGGTCTTTGATCCATTTGAAGCCACTTTTGGACTAATTCAATAATAGCCTAAGAAATCCCCCTGTATTTAGCCTTTTCCCCTCCAGTGTGTCTTCCACAGTGTCTTAAGTGATCAATCATATAATCTGATGTGGCAGTCAGCAGAGGTTCAGTGTTGAGTACAAGGTTTCAAAGAACACACTTCCCTCCATTGCTGGCATCTTCCTGATACTTGTGGGGCCTAATCTTTCAGTGATGATCTTTGTGTATAATGTGAGGTATTAGGTATGTATTATAAGTGGCTGTCACAGTACCAATTTTCAGCAATCAAAAAAGAGATAGATGCTCACTGCATAGCATGGGAGGTCATCTGTAGCCTGCATCTTTCCTCATTAGCTGTATCTCCTTCCATATTTCAGCTCAGCCTGATTTCAGGCCAGGCCTTCTCTGGCTTTTCTGCCTTTGCTCTTGTTGACCTCTTGGTTCAAGAAGAATGACTGTTGCTCAGTGAAAGTTTTTTATACAGTGAAGGCAAACAGGCGTCCACATGGTTTGAGTTTGTGGTTGAAGGTAAGATACTACCCCAGGCACTAGATTAAACCTCATGAAGCATGAAGTGTTTCAAAGTGATTTTGGAATTTTCTGTACATTGATTTTGACAACATTTAGATTAACTATAGTTTAATAAGATGGCAAATATTAGTTACAAGTAATCTCAGATAATTCAAGAGAACTTCTTTATGATTTTGAAGTTTTAGAACTAACTTTTATGTCATTATACAATTTTTTTCACTAGAGAAAAAATATACTAGGTGCTAGGTTGTATGTACGGAATGACAAATGAAAACGGATATAGCCAGTACATGTTTTGTATTATGCTTTTTGTTAACTGTTAAATATATTAAAAAAACTTACAACAAATACAGATATTATTAAATATGATCATATTCTGTTATGTGCTCAGCCTCTATTTAAGAAACAGCCATTGCCACTGGAGTGTCCTGTGTACTGTGTGCCCCTCTCCTTCTCCCTCCTGCTTCCTCCTGCCCCTCACACTGGCAAACCTATCCTGATGATCATTCCCTTACTTTTCTCTGTAGGTTTATGACACGTTTATATCCCTAAATAATACATTGTTTTGATTTACTCACTTTTGAACTTTAAATAAATAGAACATAAAGAATGTATTCTTCAATTTTTTTTCCCTCAACATTATGGTCCTGAGATATTTCCCTATTGTAGCACATGGCTATAATTCATTCATTTTCACTGCTATATACTAACCCATTAAATAAATATACTATATTTATCCATCCCACTATTGACGGATGTGGGTGATTTCTAGTTTGGTACTGTTAAAAACAGTCCTGCTGTATAAATAATCTCATAAATGTCTTCTGGTGTGCATTAAGATTTTATCTAGAATATTTACTTAGATATAAAAACTGCTGCTTTTTCTTTATTAGACCTTTTGCTTTATTATTTATTGGATAATGACAACTTTTTCCAAAGTAGTTGTGCTGATGTTGATTCTACAACAGTGTATAGGAATTCCTATTGTTTCCTGTTTTGCTTTCATTTCATACTGCCTGCCAGATGCCAGTCTGATGGTGTCTCATGATTAATTTGCATGTCTTTGATTCCTAATGAAACTGAGCATCTTTTCATGTTTATTGACTGTTCACATTTTCTCTTCTGTGAAATGCCTATTCAAACCC